TATTGAAAGAAGAGCAAAGAACGACAGTGATTGAAAATATGTTTTCGCTCTTCTCCCAACTGGCTTTGGTAAGAATTTGACTACGACTATGGCTCAGTGATCTAAATGGTTGAGGTTCGCCAGTAATAGACAGTGATTAATTCTGAGACAGACTGTTCATGTTTCTTTTTCAAAAGTGCCTTTTCCAAAACTTTTCTAACGATGACTTCCCAGATGGTTCTGTGTAACAAATTATTTATTTTGTGTAACATGTTTTGTGTATCATTTCCTCTCTGTGGGTCCCTAAAAGTCCTTTAAATGAATCTAGCAGAACTGCTCACAATGTATGTGCACAGTAGGGCTGTAACATGTCACAAGAGGTTGCAAGTAGATGTTGATTTGTTTCATTGGTCAGAAGTAAAAAAAAAAAACTGAGAAGAAAACTGAGATACTGGAGAAGGTTTGTTAGCGTGAAGGCCTTAATGAATATTATGCCACAGATGACCCCTACTGGTCAGAACTAGTCATTGCAACAACCCTCCTACGGTTATCTATATTGTCACTTCTTTTATTCTCCTTAAATGACCCATAGTTTTGCACCTTGAGAAATAAAGCAAAACTTCAACAAAAAGTTCTAAAAGTCCAAAACTATGAATGCACTCTAACACTGAGCACATGAGTCATGATCTTTTTTGATTATGGTTATATTTTGTTTTGCAAAAAGGTTTCAGTCCTGCCAAAAGGTGTGTCATATCTTTTTTATCTTTTTTTTAATCTTCTATCTAGTGTGCAGAGTATTTGCAACCCTGAGGTATATTTGGAAGATAACAAGTCACCACATATCACCTTTGCTTTGAATCATCCGACAATATAGCTGTTAGTGCCATGAATGCAACGTGTGTGTGTTTTCCCATGTCATTCCCACAGTCCCATCCCCCCAACAGGAACCATAGTCTCCCCTTATCCCATTAAGACAATTGCCAAGACTGGCATTCAAACATGTGCACGTGTGTGTGTGTGTGTGTGTGTGTGTGCGTGCAAAGACATACACACACAAACACACACACACAAACACACATATACGGACGAATGCACACAAATATACTAACCCATACACACACTGGGCAGAGAAAGAGTAATTTCAAAATCAATCCTTTTGGAGAAAAAGAGTGGAAAAAAAGAATGAGAGCCCCAAAAACTCCACCAGTGTTAGCTGATTGTAAAGGACTGTCAGTTACTGCAGTCTTCTATTGGGCCAAAGGGAAGCAGCAGGATTCAACTTGGGGCCCAATAAAGGGCTATTCTTCCTGGAAATCGGCCCTCGCACATGGACTTGAATGCACTTGAACGCTAATCTTCCGAGCTGTGGGAGCCCACTCTATATTCACAGGCTGTGCCACCCCAGCAGGCACAGCCGCGCATGCTGATGCTATAACACACAGGCTAGTGCTAAAGCTAACAAAGGGTTAATGCTAATGTACTGAAATCTCTGGATTCTGATTTTACTTCTCACACTGAATGTTTGACACATTATTCATTATGCATTGTACCTCTAGTAAGACCAGCAATCGCATTTCATTTATTAACTTTTGTTTATATGTTGTAGGTAAATATAAATGCTTCTATACATCTTACATAACTGCTTTAAAAGGTCAGGTCACTCAAATAAAAAAAGAGAAGTTTTCTTGGAAATAACTACGCCTACACAATTTGGAACTAATTGTTGGGAAATGAAGACTGTGTAAAATTGGCACACTTCCTATAAACTGAATTAACTGCTAGCATAACTTAGAGAGTATTTTTGTTAAAAGCTGAAATTTGCAAAGAATTTAACATATAGCAAAAATATCTGCCAGTAATGCCAGTTTCCTGTAATAGATAACATAACCCTGTTTAGCTGCTAACTTACACGCTTGGACAAGCAAGACACAGATTAGATGCTTTATTGTTTGTATGTTCATTACATTTCACTTTTAATGTTACAAGAGAAAATGTTTTAAGGATGAGAACTAATGTTATCTTGGATAATGTGTTTGGCTGGAGTTACTGGAGTTTTAAATGACCCAAATCCATTAAATAGCAGGACAGAGCCGCTAAAGCTGTGTTAGCTAAAACTCTCAAAACTGATATAGTAGCACCAAGATGTGCTATATGTAACATGACCTTTAACCCCACAAAGTGTAGTGAGATGATGATATGCCCCTCGGCCTAAGTATCACTCTCACTAGAGCGTCATGCAAAACAGTTCAGTGTGTGGAGAAATCAAGACAGGCCCAATGTTTCAAGTTGCAGCTGCTGACTGAGCTTTGTCTCTAAAAAAGTATGTCTCTCTGACCTTTGTCTCTGGTGACTCTTAGTGGTATTACCAAAAATGATACAGCAGCTAAAAGCAATGCACACATTACTTTTCAATTGTCTGCAGACATTTATTCCATTAAAATAATTAATTAATAATTAATAATGCTGAAATCACATAAAAATTCCACCCATACAAGCTTTAAATGACCAAACGCAAACTACAGGCTACACACACAGGAACACACAGGTATACTTTTTTTAATCCAGTGAAGCGTGGTAGTCAATGCCATCTATCTATCTGCCTCATTAACAATGTTCAGAGTCTGAGCTATTTCTGCTTAGTGTGTGTTTCACCAGTTGGTGGTCAATTAATTATCTACATCTTATTTTGCACTGATGGCACTGCGAACTACAACTTACTATAATTATTGCAACTGCAACCTTGATCATGATTTATTAAGCATGCAGTGCCCTTTATTATTTATAACTGTCTATGCACACAAAGTACACTTGATTTTTACCTGTACCATGTAAATTATTCTTTTGTGGCTCCCCCAGTAAATACATTATTCTGTTGACAGCAAAGGTTTAGAGCATTTATTATAATGTCATTTTCAACTTCAGTTCCCTTGCAAAGAGCGTTTTAGCATCTTTCAGCTAATTGCTTTTGGTTTTCTGCATTGTTACTGCAACTTTACTGTTTGGTTCACTCATGCAGCTGTTTTCAGCAAAAAAAACTCTGATTAACTCACTGTACACTACCAGCCCAGCAACCAATGGTGGACAGACATGAGTTAGCAGAAAATAGTGGAACATTTAGTAATAGGAAGCTAGGTATTTACCTCAGGAGTAGGTAAAGAGCTAAAAAGAGTGAGTGAGTGAGTATTGAACTTTTATCATTTATCAGGTAGACAGATGCATGAAACATGTGTACAGTGACACTCTGTTTTAGACCAAAGTGTTTGCCTTCTGTTTTGAATAACACTGAGGTTTAATGTAATCTAAACTTGTGGAAATTGAAGAGATAAAAACTTCTTCAGGATGCTCAGGATTCATTTGCACCAATCACAATCTTAAGATGGCTAAATACCTTAATGACAAGACTTCATGATTATATATATTTGTTTTATAATTAAAGAACATGGTGCTGAAGAGACACTTTCCATGGATGAACAGGTACTTATGTACTGGTGTCTTCAGTTATCTCTAGGGAAATACTGCCCTCAAGTGGACAGATAATTAGATAAAATGTCTCCTATGACCCTTCTATTATGCAACAACCACCAGATATCCAGTAATCGTATCTTCACTGACTAAAGTGTTCACTAATACAAGAGGTGTCTTGGGCTGGCACTTGATCTCCATCCATCCATCCATCCATCCATCTCTCATGGGAAAGGCAGTTTGGGTTTGTCATATCAGTCAACTCAACATGCTCAGCAGATTTGTGCAATGCTTTAGACCCATTTCAAATAAGTCTAAAATCATACTGATACTGGCAGGCACAGTCTCATTTTAAATTAGGCCTAAATGGAAAGAAGATTAAGTCAGTGTTACAATGCTCTTCAGACACCACCACCCTCCCCATTAAAACTGGATGGTATCATTCCTGCACAATCCTACTTGCTGCAGGCATCAGCAATTTTAAGTCATGGGAGGAAATTTGCCATGTCGATGTATTTAACCTGACTGCAGCGCTTGAGGATCTCAAAGAAGCTTTAAAACATAGTGTATGACAAGAATAGTGTAGTGTGAAACGCCTTGCAGCCAGCAGTGTTATGATCAACAACACTTAAATAAATAATAAATAAAATATAACCGTTACAGTGACATGTGCTGGATGCTAACAGTAACACATTAATTAAAGAACATGGTTGTTTAAGGCAGTGGTTCCCAACATGGGGGTCAGATAAATAAGGATGGGATAAGTGAAAGACAAATGCTTGCCCCATCCTTCATTACCACTGCAGAAGCACCCGTAAGCAAGGCCATTAACCCCCGACTGCTCCAGTGGCTACAGAGCAGACTGTGGTTGTACTGGGCAGCTTAAAGATGTGAATGTCTGTAACTGAGTGAATGTGAACAGGATGTTCCTGAAAAAGGAAGCATTTCTCTCAGAAAAACTTCCCTCAATAAATATATGTGTAAACAAATATATCAGATAAATCTGAGGGGTTGTGAAATGATTGTTGTGAAAAGAAAAAGCATGGTTCTGCTGCATAAAGTTATATATATTTTTACATTTTATTACTTTATACTTTTATTATGTAGCCACGCAGTGTGACTCTAGGCATTGGTTGTGAGTCCACTACTTTGGTCCAGACTGAAATATCTCAACAACTATTTCATTGATTGCCATGAAATTTTACTAAGATAGTGAACATGGTAAACATCTTACAACCTCAGCATGTTCGCTTTTGAAATTGTGAGCATGTTAGCGTGCAACATTAGCATTATCATAACGTAAGTATAGCCTCACAGAACCGTTAGCATGACTGCAGACTTTCAGTCTTGTATCTATTGTATCTTTGCATTTTTTATATTAAATACTTGATAGCATTACCTCATCAGTTTCTGTTGAAACTATATGCAAAAATCAATTAAATTTTTTTTTTTACTTTTATGCCCGTATTGGAGAGTAGACAGTACAGACAGAGAGGAAAAAGGGGAAAGAGATGGAGATTGACAACGTAAGTCCTCAGCTGGACTTGAACCAAGAATTACTCTACCCCTTGGCCATCAGGATCCCCCAATATTGCTTCATTTAAAGACGTCATAAGTCACTTTTAAGGTCACATCAAGAGCTTCTTTTGACAATCAAACCCCAAACATTTGCTGAAAGCAGAACCTTTTGCAACAAATCAATGAAAATGTAAAAACATTCAAAGTCAAACTGGACACTGGTAGGTGAAGCACAACGAATCAGAACAGGACATGTCACACGGGGCCAGGACACACCATGCTGGGTCATGCTGCTCTGGGAGATTTATTTAGTGATTTTTCGGTTTTTTGTTTTTATTATGTTTTTCACTTGCGTTCCTGTCAGGAGTGTGGTAAATGGGACAGTCAAGCAGCAAGAGTCACAGTTCATTATCATCATCATTATCATCATCATCATCACTGTCACCACCATTATTATCATCCTCCTCATGGTATCATAGCAAATAATTTTCATCATCATTTAACTTTTCCTCAAGCTAGAAAATAATTTACATCACATTGTTTTCACTGACTTTTGAGACCACAAACATTCCAGCAACACACTCTAGGATTAAGGGTGGGTAACAATCAGAAAAAGCATGACTTTTTGCATAGTATTAAATGAACAAAGACATTGAGTTCTTTATTTACAATTATTGTATAGATAAAAAAAATATCATAAAAACAAGATGAACACTTAAATCACTTACCCATAAATGGCTAAGTATGCCAAAAAGTTATCTGTTGGCATTTCTCTTTTTCTTTGTTCCACAAACTGCATGCTGCTAAATACAGTACATCGAGGCAGGTGAGAGTATATTGCAAGAAGTATCATTGATATCATCATTATCATTATCATCAGCATTATCATCATCATCATCATCATTGTCGGTGTCATCGTCAACATAATTATTGGTTGTTACAACACGTGTTATCATTTGGATGTAATCACAATGTTTTGAAGTGTTTCTGACAGGAGCAGTGATTGATTACATACAGCCAAACAGCTGTGTCGGCAGTATGACTCGTTTTGGTGCATGATGGTAGATGTAGTCAGGAAGAGTTCCTGTTCTCACACGAGTCCGCATGGAGTTTCTGTCCTGTGTAGACTCATTGCTGTATTTACAAAGATTATTTTTAAACTTGTCGTCTTTGCATCCTCTTAAAGCTGAATGTCCTCCTGGATGTAAAAGTGTTTTGAGAATGTTGGCTTAAGTCTTTTTTTTATTTTATTGAAAACGCTGTTTGTTTATTGTTTTTAATTTTTTACAGACAAACAAATAAATTGTCAAGGAAACAAAATAAATCCACAGCTTGTAAGCAGAATATCAGAATCCAGACTGTTTTTTTCAACTTAAATAAGACAGATTTTATTCAAATGGTTACTTTTTCAACACGCCTGAGCTGACTGGTAAAGCTTGTGCACCCTCTCCAGATGTACAGATTGACTGGGAAATGACAGAGGAGGAGGATATACAAAAGAAAAAGATGCTCTGATAAATGATTGTATATATTGTAGTAGTGTATAGGATTTTTTTTTAAGTAGAAAAAACGTCAATTTTTTCAAGTTGCATAATGAGCCTATCACGTCATGCTTGCCAATGACTTCGGTTAGTAAATAGAAATAACAATAGTACAGGCTAGTTAAGTGGCCTTGTCCTTCTGAGTGCAATAAGACAGGGTAAATGTGCATTCTGTATGTAACTTCTCTCTTGTAATGTCTGATTGGTCAAAGCACAATAAATAGTTTACAACTAGTGAGTACAGTTGAGATGCTAGAGTACTGTATATTCTGTGACGGCAGGAAGACAAGCTTGGTTAAAACACACAAAAGCACATCTAGAATTACACCACAGAAGTTTTCATTCATAACCAGATAGTGCAGAAAAGGATCGTCTTTTTTTATATATAGAAAAAGAGTCAAAGCAACATTCCATTTTTGTTGTAATTTGTTTGTTTCTTTTTGTCAGTTTTTCCTTTTTTTTTTTTAGATGTTAAAAATGCCAACAGCTTTGTGGGGCTGCATGTGTCCCTCTGCTAGAGGAAAAAGAAATCCATTGAACCAAAAATAAATCAGAATTAAATAAAAAATAAACAACACAATATATTCCAAATTTTAAACAAAAACAAAAAAAAAAGTCTGATTTCCGTGCGGCACAGATAAGCCAAATATAACTTTGCAGATTTCTAATATGACTCGATTGCAGCCTTTTTGATGGTCACATATTTTTAAAACATCAAGTCCTTTGAACAAGCAGGTTTATCTAGAATACAGTTCACTGTAAAGGTCCTGATATCAGCCTTTGACTCGAGCCCTGACCCCAGGCCAGTGCTGAAGCACAGAAAAAAAAACACAATAAAAAAAAGAGAAGAAGAAGAAGTAGTGAAAAAAGAATTAAATATTCCCCCTCTGTCACAAAAAGGAGGCCTCTGTTTAGAAAAGACAAGCCACTCCAACTTCATCCCAACAATCATATAGCGTAATACTAAGATTCCACATTTACTATGTATCCCATTATATTTTGGTTTCTTTTTGTTTGTCAATCCTCTAAAAATATCTACAATATTTGAAAAGATAGCAGGCAAATTCCAGCACAAGGTTTTTCAGTAATAACACACCAAGACAGCTCTGGTCTTTCTGAGCTCCAGCTTCGCCTCTCTCCTTCTAGAAACCAGGAAGTTTATCTCTACGAGGTTGTAAACAAATTACATTCTCTTTAAGACATAAATAAGTCAAAGTATTTTGAGCCATTGAAGCAGGAACAAGGCAACATGCCGACAAACAAAGATAAACTCTCTCTAAATATATTTATATGTATTTATATTTATAGAATATATCCCATAAATGCTATCATCATCAATATTACTTTGCGGTCCTCTTTTCCGACAGGTGCAAAACTACTGTGCAAGTTGAGCCCTACAACCTCGTTACACATTTCTGTTTATGGATGAAATAAATTTTTACAGTCGGGTACATGTTCATGCCACACAGAAGAGGGAACTTTGCAGGCCAGGAACTCAGAGAAGCTGTCTTTAAAATAGTAGTCCACCGCGAGGCCTAGCCCATCACAACGAAAGAACTCCAATAAAATTAAAACCCTTTTAAATAAAACTTGGGTAATGTACATTCATGCAGGAGCAACAATAATAATAACAATAATAATCAGAATGAGAATCAGAATAATAACAATGTTTTTCAATTTAATTTAAACTATTATCAGTATTGACAATATTATTGTTGAGGAGAGGGAGTGTAAGGGGAGTTTAGAGTCTGTCCTGTTTTGCGATTTTTACTCCTCAGCAGTGTCTCCCTCCTCATTGTCCTTCTCCCGGTGCCACTAAAGACACAGTTCTTACATATGTGCAGTCAGCGGCACGCTAATACAGTACATGCTAACACGCATATAGTCATACACACCACCACCACCACCACCGCTGCCGCCACCATACACATACAACCACAAAAGCAGGATGGCTGTGTAGGTTTTGTGGCTTTGTTGCGCTTTTTTGATTGTATGTTAAGTTTGTTTTTCTTTTCACCTTGCCATATTACTTTAGATTTACTCCATGTCGAGAGGAGCAGAGAGCTTTAAGAGCTCAAGGTTAAGGGGGAAAGATGAAGATTTTGTCACAAGACCTGTCCTGTGTAGGTTGGAAATGTGGGGGTTTGGGGGAGGGGGCACTGGAAGATGAGTAATGAGCTGGATTGGGTGACATTTGGGGGGAGACAAGGTGTAAGGTTGCAGTTAAAGGTGGATTTGGAGGAGGTGCCCCCAGACTGCAAGGAAATTACTTTAGAGGTTAAGAGCTGAGGCTAGGATCAGGGTTAGAGGCTGGTCTCCAAGCTGTGAAGAGGACTGGCGGGGCTGGAGGAAGCAGCTGATTTACTGGTGTCGATGGTGAGATTGATACCACTGTCGATGGCGTTGTTATTCTTGTTGGGGGATGAGGGCTGGCTGGAGTACTTCCCCCTCCTCCGAGCCGAATCATCGTCCGTGTCGTCAATGAGGGGGATGTTGGGCGTGGAGTCTTCTATCCTAAACTCTGGGTGTGTCATGAAGTTGTGGATGGATGATCTGGAGTCTGGTTTTTCCAGGCCTTCATAGAGGGAGCTACGGAATGCATTCACAACGCGGATCTGTCGTAGAAAAAGGGAGGAAAGAGAAGAGAAACGATGAGAGGTGATGCCAGAGGCAAAATGAAAGGGCTGGAGGGACCCTCGGCATGAGAGGAAAGAGGGAAGTGGGAGAGAGAAGGGACAGAGAGGAGGGACAGAACCTCTCAAATGAGGATAAAGAAGTGAGGAGGAGGATAAGGTGAAGGAGCAATAAGAGAAAAGGAAACTGCAGTCTGTGTTCTGCTTTCACACAATATGACTACAGTTCACAAGTCACTCAATTTTGGCGTGCACTAAGAAAAGCCGTGAGGAACACAATCATAAAAAAACACAACCAAATCATACATTTCAAGAAAAACAAATACCAAAGCAACACAAACGCTCGTTGTAAGTATACGCTTTAGTCCAATGTGCTGTATACCTAGAAACAAGCCACGTTAATAAATGGAATGCTCACATAAAAACTAAAAGGAGAATATCACATGCAAGTTTGAAGAAATCTGGTGGACGAGGTCAGTAAGAAGGAAGGAGGTTAGATCTGAGAGATCCAATCAGGTGGTTTAAAAACTTCTGGGAGGTACCAGAGCAGTGTCCCACACAGACTCTGAATGGGACACACAAACACACGAATATAGCACAGGGTGGGTAAAGCACGGTCCCAAATGGGGCAATGGAGACAGTCAAACTCAAGCCTGCATTAGGAGGTTGGTTCGACACGAGCATTGCAGTGTACAACAAAACAACACATCCAAAAAAAAAAGATAAAATTAAATAAAACAGTGGCATTTAGACAACGAGCAAACACATAAGGTTAAGATATTATGAACACAAGAAGTGAACAGGAGGTAAACAAACTACATGCAACAAGACAAGTGGACACCGGCACACACTGTTGACACAAAACATGTGGAAGTGAATAATGAAAATAATAGGTTTACTGTCAGAGGTCTGACAGTCAAAGCATGTTTCAACTCCATGCACGTCTAAGTAAACACTCAAGTATAGACCCCAAACAACTATGTGAACCTTTAGTGAGGAAGGTATCTGTATGTCAGTTCAATTTGGAAATTTTGGGAGAGTCTTCCTTTAATCAAAACCTGTCTGCATGTACAATAACTGCTGAAATTTAGGAGCAATTTCATAGCTAAAAAAGATACTTTTGATGCCTTTAAAGAACATTGACTTATGTCAGCACACAGGGGTATATTGCACATCATTATGGTTGTATTTATAACGTTCCTGTTGGTGTCACAAAACTTCTTCTGCAGAATTATTCTGTCTAAATTTTCAAGAATTTTTGTGAGCTGAAGCCATAAAAATATAATGTTGTTTATTATAGCAACATTTATCCCAATGCTACTAAAATACACAGTCTAATAAATATTGAAATGTCAGTGAAAAATGCTAATTCTCTAATTGTGACTTAAACAATAGTTAAGTTATTATGGACAACCAATTCAAAAGTATATGTATCAGCAGAATCACAGATTTTTAGTCTCGCAACCAATGACATTTCTTATTCCTGAATAGTTTTCAGATTTGAAAATAGAGAAAAATGCTTGTCACAATTTCTAAAATTTTCAGATTGCTTGTTTTTCTGAACCAGCAATTAAACACCCGGTATCAATCAATTCATATTGATGTAAAGCAGAGAAAAACAGTAAATCCTCACATTTATCAATTATCAAAATTGTTTCTCTCCTCAATCATCATAGGACCAAATATTTTGAATCCAAATTGTCTTTCCAAAATATTTTCCAATTATAAAATATCCAAAAGATATCAGTAAAATATAATATTTTTTCAATGGGAAGTTGTACTAAAAGAGATGCTACTTTCCACTTTTATTATATATAATAAGCAAATAAGTTTTTGTGCCTCAGTGTACTGTTTTGTACGTCATACGAATACTCTATATACTGTAAATATTGTAGTACTGCTATTGTAGTAACTGTGGCAGAGTGGGGTATAAGGAGACAAAACAGATAAAGAAAAATAATAAGAGAAGCCTGTCTGGATGAGTGCATGTGACAGGATGTCTGACAAGTAACACTGATGGGGTGTCAGAAACGGGTGGGGGGTTGAATTTACGTCGGTGGTGCTGCAGAGGATCTCTGTCCGTAACTATGGCAACATGACAGTCAACTACACCGACAGTATGAAGCGACAAGATGGGATGAATTATTGGTGCAGCATTGCTTTATGGCGATTCTCCTGTCCCCTCCATTCCTGTCCACACACCCTGAGCAGAGTTTTATATCTGATTTTCATCAAGTAGATAAATATTAGAGACAGTGTGTGTGTGTGTGTGTGTGTGTGTGTGTGTGTAAAAGAAAGAGAATGAAAGAGATAGAGGTGGACAAAAACAGAGATAGTCCCTGACACTGACAGTCCCCAAGGTAGATTTTAGTTGCACCATTTGGAATTCCCATTTGAAAGAACATTTTTCTGTCTGCCACACATATTGGAGCTTCCTTTATGTTTTCCTGTCATTGCAGATGATGTGTCTGCTGGAGAATACATGAAATAGCAGGTAGAATTTGCCTCAGCTCAGTTCAGTGTGATTTGCCTCATCAGTAGCAAACTCACAGGCGAAACAACATTGCAACTTATACTTGAATGTTTACCCAGCCCCTTGGTGAGTTGATTGGAATTAGTTCACATTAATGTCCGTCAAGACATAAAATGGAAGGATTGGAAAATGGGACAATGGGTGGGGGATGAGCAGAGGGAGACAAACTCACAACCTGAAATGTCACGCCGTGGGTATCACCCTTAGTCCTGCGCTCCTAGCACTCTGAGGAAACAAACACACATTCAACAATGAGAGGACAGTACACCCAAGCATGGGAGGAGATATCAAGATGAATTTGAAATCCAGTATGAACAGCAAAAAAAGACAGAAGAAAGAGAGGAAATGAAAAAAGCAGATTGCAAGAAAAAAAAGACGAACCTTCAGAGATGCCAACCCCAAAACTGGGGTTACTGTCACATTAATTTGTTTAAAGAATAATAAGCCAGACAATGTGTGGAAAAAAATAACTTTTTGTTTATGACATGATGGCACCCCTGAAGTAAAGAGAGCAGAGAAGCAGACTGACAGAGATCTGACTCACGGCCAGTAGTGGGAGGAGCAGTAGCAGCAGTAGTGCTTGTAGGAGAGGAAAGGGCATTGGACAAGGACACGTGACTAGGACTAGAAACATTGGTTACATCCTGGGTCTGGCTGGTGGTGGATGATTGACGTCTCAGAGCCCCCGCCCCCTGAAAGGAGGTGCCACTCTTGAAGGTGTTGACTACGTCAATCTGTGGGAGGAAAGCAGGACAGGAGAGGACAAATGGCTGCTCAGAGTGACAGAGACCAAATGGCAACACAGGTTGACTGGCTGGGTGATTTTGGTGGTAAAGGGAGTACAAAGAGTCTCAATCATAACACGATGGGCGAGTGGGGGGCAGCGACAGGTCAGGGTGTAGTATCCCCTAAACAAAATGCTGAGTTTGACTCAAATGGTTAGTTCACCCAAATTACCAAAAATATTTTCTCTTTTCTCGAGGCAGACAGCCGCCCACCTAGAGCTGGGGTCTGCTCGAGGGTTCTGCCTCTTAAAAGGACGTTTTTCCTTGCTGCTGTCACCAAGTGCTTGCTAATGGTGGTGGTAAATGTTAGGTCTCTGTAGATCATTTTATAAGGAGTACAGTGTAAACCTGCTGTATTTGAAAAGTGTCCTGAGATAACCTTAGTTATGAATTGGTGCTATACAAATAATATTGAATTAAATTGAATTGTGAATGGGCTTTTCAGATGTTGGCTGCTCACAGCATCAAACTAATATGAAAACTACTGACAGTAGATTGCGGTGATCATCCAGGAGTAACTGGCGGCTTATTTAAGCTGCAATTTTTCAAATGTTGTCAGGACAACTAATTAAATTCACGTAAATTTGTATGGGTGCCAAAATCTCAAACCAAAACAAATAAAATGAAATCTTTCTTCTCTATCTAAAATTAGTTTGCTAATTTTAGGTGATCTGACCCCTTAAATGACTGGATATAGCATATGTGTAGCATACAGATGCAGTCATTTACATCATTCAGTGTATACACTCTTTTTACTTCAGAAATTAGAGAAAAACTTTGGTTTACTATAACTGTTTTTTTTAAACTTGATGATCGTGATCGCTTCTATTGATTATGATAAGACTGTCCTCACTACATTACTAAAATCTCAAAGGGGTCAGATGATTAGACAGGTTGTAAACAAGGACAGAGTTTTACCAGATTAGTTAAACCATCTTATTTTTGCAGGTAAAAGTAAAACCGAGTGCACCTGCTGTATACTGTTGCTAATAATCTGCCATTACACAGAAACACCACAAGTGTGCACAACTACATTCAGGTCTGTAACCTGTGATGGATGTTTACAATGAACAATTTATGTTGTAATTTTACAGTATGCTGTTGTTTTCTCTTCCAAATAAATCTTACCTAACCTGAGGGTTTTAAACCTGTTTGGTCATTTGACTGCTCTTGCTTGTTGCCCCATTGGACTACAATCAGTGTTCAAAGCGATGGCCGGAGCAGTTAAAATAAACCATAATTTTCCTTTAATGTCTTAATTGGCTGCGTCTGTATGATGCTGATCCATGGAATTGTGTCGTAGGATAGCTTCACCCTGGACCATCAGTGACACATCAGTAAAATGAAATCAAATCCAACACACAGGGCAAACTGTCTTGAATATCACAGTGATAACGGTGTGCAGAGTTGATCACAGTGAGAACAATTCAGTGACTATGTCCGGTTGTATTTAACCCCCGAGATTTGACCGTCGATCTTCCACAGGTCCACACTGGTGATTGCTTCAGCCCAGCGAGAGAAAGCTGCGGCTTCATGTACCTAAATAAATCATCTTCAGATAAAATTACTTTAAGGCTGTTACTGACTAACATGAAGAACATATAACACAGTCTAGAACTTCCTCTTAGAGGTAATCTTCTCAGGCAATGTCTGAGGTGGCATGACATCCTACTGAAAACTGATTATATTACAAAGACAGACAAACAGAAAACATCACTGGTGAAAGTTTTGCTGCTTGACTGCTGCTTAACTGACTAAACAAAACCTTTAATTTTTATTATTATACAATGATACAAGTATCTTTTTACAAGTAAACCTGTTTAAATCAAAATAGAACGTCTTGATTACATCTCGTGTCCTCACCTGAGTCTGAATGCGGTTCAGTCCTCTGAACCAGAGGATCTGTCCTCTCCTCAGCTCCCTCTCTGCGTGGTCGATCTCCTCATTGTCTTCATTCACGTCCTCCTCTGGTAACTCATCTTTCTGAGTTAACTGGCCTGCCCTCCGCAGGAAGCGTAACCTGCTATTGGGTATGGTGGCTATCACCTAACCCATAGAGAAAACAAAGCACTGGGTCAAAAGGAAAGTTAACAAGTGTATAGTAGAGTAGAGAGACACAAAGGTAGAGTAAAACATGGTAAACTAGAATAAAATAAAGAAAACAAGCACAGCAGGAAAATAGAAAGACAGAGAAACAGATGGGCTTGCATGTTACCTGTCCCCAAACAAGCTCCCCCAGCCCGAGGAAAACACACCACATCCACTTATCCAGGTCCAGAGGTTGACAGCTGAATGGCTTCCCTCCAAACTGCACAATCACAATCTACACAGAGCAAAGCACAAGCAATGAAAATATATATGGAGAAAAAAAAAATTAACCTTCACTTATGAATATCATCATCATTAATAAACTCAAATCATTTGCATCTGCCTACCTGCATAGCAAAGGTGCCAAAAACGATAGAGCAGAAAATGGGGTTCCTGAAAATGCCATCAAAGACGTTCCTCTCTCCGTGGATTTTGCGGGCATTTATCTCGTTAAAAAGCTGCATCATGACGAATGTGTTGAAGATAATGGTGTAGTGCTCAGATGGAGGAGCGTGGAGAGGAGCATTACGCCCGCTGTCAATGTCAAAGATCTGCTCACCTACAGGGATAAAAAATAGACAATTAGTATGACATGATACATTTCTAACCTATATTGCATCACATGGTGCAAGGTGCAGAACCCCTGGTGTACAGCAGAGCAAAATTATAGTCTGTACCAACAAAGAGCAGTGTGAAGATGATGATGAGCTGATAGACTCCGTGTCCGAGGATGTTCTTTGTCATGGTGCTAGAGATGAGAGGTTTGTTGCGACCGTATGGCTTCCTCTTCAGCAGAGACTCTGTGGGAGGCTCTGTTGCCAGGGCCAGAGATGCAAAAGTATCCATGATCAGGTTTACCCACAACATCTGCACTGCCTTCAGGGGAGAGTCCTGGTGAAATGCAACGGAAATCACAAGAATTAAGAACTAATAACTTCCATACTGCCAGGGGTGTAAAGTAACCAATAACCAGTAATTTAGTCACTGTAACTGATGCTTTTTCACACCTGTATTTCTGTAAAATAAGACATTGTTTTGCTTATTTTGCTAAATATCTGTTGAGTGTTGCATTCAACAACTTTTTAATTACAGTTTATAACAGATAATAATAAGACAGGGTGCCTTCTGTCAGTCAAAACAGATGCATCCCAACAATCCATGACAATCTCAATAACAGAGCATGAAAAAATATTCCAGACACAGATGGATATATTAAGCATTTATCAATAAGTACTTTAAACATTTCCAGCAATGACTTTGTCTAGCTTTATTTATCTTTTATCTCTTTTTCCCCCTAATGAGGTAAATATCTAGACAATTTATAAAGAAATTATATTGTATTGTGTGTGTGCTTGTGGTTTTGTTTAATGACAAAACAGTGTTAGAACGTGTTTTCATGACCTGCCGTAGTATTTTCATTGTAGTAGATCTGTGTTTGCCTACAGGAATGAGATGTTGCATAATTGTTCATTCAAAGTTCATCATCTCACCCACCCCCACATTTAGATACACTCTCTCTCTATCACTCTCCCTCTCTCTCACACACACACACACACACACCACTCTGACCTGTGTGATGCAGGCGCCGGTGAAAGCCACTATGACAGCCACAACGTTGACAGTAAGCTGAAACTGAAGAAACTTGGAGATGCTGTCGTAGACGTTTCTGCCCCACATTACTGCCTTGACGATGCTGCTGAAGTTATCATCAGTAAGAATGATATCTGACGCCTCCTTGGCCACATCTGTACCAGCAATACCCTAGAGGAGTGCAAAAAAGGTGCAGTCAGAAAGAAACTAAGGTTTGATAGCACACAGCTATGATGTTTCAGATTTTGTGGATCATCTATTGAATCATACAGCCCTATTCTTCAATCTACCACACACAGATGAAAGAAATCTTTCTGAATCAAATTTGTAGCCACTGGTCAAAAACTGGACAGTGGACATGAGTCAGCTATGATTATGGGTAATAATTATGCAGACTAATTAAGGGGTTAATGCGTGTGTGTTGGTGGTTTGATGATGGAAGGCTCCATATTTATGGGAGGAGCAGGACACACTTCCTGATATTCTGTCACATTTTGTAAGTTACAGTACGAGTTGCAGGTTGCAGCACTACATAAACGTACTCGGATAATATTGTGTAGAATAGTGGGGATTGAAAAAAAGCTACATGTGAGGACATGTTTGTGAGTGCGTCCCATTCATGTAATTGATGTCCTCGCAACAGTGTAAATGGAACCAAACAAAAGTTATGCTTACATTCAGTGTTCACCAAAAGACATTGTGTGTGTAAACCATTCGCAGGAATAGGCATCTTGCACTTGAGTGCTGATGTGCACCTTTGTGTGTGCAACAAAATGGGACGCACTCATTTAAAAAAACTGCTATATAGCACTACCATAAGTCAAAAACTCAACTAAATAGCTTTAACTACCAGCTACAACTGCATAGGACATGCCTCCATCAAAACAGTGTGTGAATTTAAACTACAGAGCTAAAATTTAAGGATGAATGAGTGAAATGTCCTGTTTCTGCCACTCCAATTCTTAGTAGTACAAATGCAAACTTCACCAAACCTATTTTTTTTTAAAAGGCCTAACATCCACAGATGCTTACCATGTCTTGAATAAAAGATGGATTTTAACAAACGTTTACCAAATGAATAGTGTTCACTAACAACCAATTGAAATCACTTAAAATCTATACATCTAGAATAAGACAGGTGGTGTCAATTTGGGGATACATTAGCTTATCTGATATGAATGTGGAGTCATGACAAAACAGGTTGAGAACCTAAGCCTTATGCTACTGGACAGAGGAAATGGTAAAGAGCCAAATTATTTAATTTATGAGGGGAGCAGAAATAGAGAAAATAGCACAGCAGCCAAATAACAAATATATAAATATAAAGCTGTGAGTTACAAGCAGAACCAAATAATTATTGTTTATTTTTGCTTTCAGTTGTCTGTAGACTGAAAAGTATAATTTACTGCAGGGACATTGTGTGAGTTCAGAAATCCACTAGGGGGAGCTCCATATCTACACAGCCAGAGGCAGAGTGCCTGAAAAGAACCCATAAATACTGCAGAGGTGAAGAAGATATCTGCAGATGTTGACTGAGATCAATCTCAAAAGACTGCAAGCAAGGCAGAAAAGATAAAAAAACAGGAAAAAAGAAAAGAAAATAGGGTTTGCTCACCATGGCGAAGCCAACATCAGCTTTCTTTAGTGCAGGTCCGTCATTGGTCCCATCTCCTGTCACAGCAACCACCTGCCTCTGGTCTACCATGGTACTGTCAATAATGCCTGTCAAGCACACATACACACAAACACATGCCATTGAGAAACACTGATAAATTAAATGCTTGGTAAAAAATAGAAGAAATATTAATGAATAAGAAAATATACAGGAAAAGGTACAGTTAGTTCACCTTTGACAAGTGTGTGTTTGTCAGTTGGTGAGGATCTGGCCAGAACTCGGAGTTTAGGCCAAACCTTGTCCATACGCTCCTGTTCCACCTGGACACGCACAAAGAGAAATAAAATGGACGGGTGGTTGTGATTAAGGTTTAGAGAGGTGTCTTGCTCCTGAGCTCCGCTTCTCTCACTCTCTGGTTCACTCTGACAGTAGTTACTGTACCTCGCCTTTCTCATTGCGGATCCTCCTGTTGAACTCTTTACCATCGATGCAGAGGAAGTCCTCTCCGGGGTGGATGATACCACACTTGATAGCTATGGCCCTGGCTGTGTTTATGTTGTCTCCTGTGACCATGCGCACTGTGATGCCTGCACGCTGGCACTTCAGAATAGCATCGGGCACCTAAAGATGGATGCATAAACACGTGCAAAATGATTTGCTACTGAAGAAATATATAGATAGATATGTATATAGTTGGTGCACACACAAATTAAACCTAAACAAAGTAAACCTGTGTGGGGCAGCCCTGTAAACGCAACACATGGTAACTGTTGGCAACAACAAACAAAAAAGAAGAACAAACAAAAGAACTTGTTAGCCAACAGCTACTTGTGTACACATCTAGCACATCTGGTGGTACACAGTATGCTACAGTATGAGAGTGGTGAAAACTGAACCAAAACAGTACAAGCTGAAAAACCAATATAATGAGCTGAAAAACACTTTCTTGGTCCTCAGAGCTGACAATAAGCTGTTGGGTAATAATTTTCTTGGTCACCTCCAGCAAACCCCTTAACCACTTTAACATACAAGTTGTTATGTGATCCATAAAATATTCATAATAGCTGCTTTAAGAATATACCAGTAGCAAACAAAACACACACATACAGGTACACATATACAAATCAAATCTAACTCCATTAGATCATTATCAGAACAGTATTCTGCTGGCTTTTCCCTTTTTGTTCTAATGATATACATAATAAAGTGTTTTATCTGAGTTCTATTCCCTCCAGATAGTGGTCTAGTAGAATAACTAGGAGATATTACTGTACAAAGATTGATCTGTGGTGAAACCAGCAAGCAAAAGCAGAGTATTAATTCAGAAACACATCTTCTTTCTGACAAAGGTCAGTGTGGGCGAGCACTGCTCTCCAAACCCACACATAAACAAACGTGTGCACACATACAGTAACAGCAACTCACATCCATTTGCAGATACACCATGCCTGGGACTCACTCTCACACATACACACACACACGGAGGCAGTAATATGCACACTTTCCACTTCACACTCACAGACACTTTGACATATTGCACATGCATATGGGCGCATTCTTGTACTCATAAACACATACATGCAAAGTACAACATAAGATGCACAACCAAATGAATCCACCACAGCAATGTGAAAACATATTGGACATTAAACTGTCAAATCAAGCTGCTCATGCGTGTAAAACATGAAGGATTTAACTCATTTAAAGGGAGCGGATTACAAAGTAAGTCTATACAGAGGAGGAGGGCAGGTCTTTAATGAGCTGGAGGTTAAACAAACAGAAACACAGAACTTCTCTGTGTCCTACTTAAAAAATCACATCTTATAATTCTGTGGTATGGCTCATTATAGATGGCATAGAAGCTTTTGCTCAACAGTTGTCACGTGTGAAAACGAAACTAAAACTAATCCTTCTATAATAGAAGCAATAGTGGAGAAAAACGTTTACATCTTTTGCTTTTGAATTCGTTGGTAGAAAGAATGTCTTATTTCTTAATATAACATATTGACTGGTTTGAAGAATCACACATTTCAATGGACACCAGTCACATTATGGAAATATTCTATATACTCTAGAAAAAAACAACCAGATATGTGAATGTGAATTCTGGCTATAATTTTACCAACTTAACAATAAGGAAAAGGTCAAGAAGGTTGAATAACTTTTGAAAATTACAACAATATTATTCACAAATGTGCACTTAGAGGTCTGTTAACATCAGTATTCATACATGAGCTGAGTTGGTAATGTGTTAAAATGGTAAACACTTACAGATTGAACAAAGAGCACAAGGTACATTAATTCATTAGTATTTAGTTTTAAATAATGTAATCTGACAAACTAAAGAAGCTCTTGTGGTAAATATTGTGACAAGGGGAGCAAAGTTATTACGTGCTGCTTTCTCTGCCTTCCCCAAGTCATACCATCAAGATGTCAAGTTCCCGTCTACATATCTGTCATCCCTGCTGTCTGTTTAACTCCCCTTTCCTTTGGATTCCTATTGCTCTAGTTGACTGGTCACCCGAAAGAAGAGGTGGAGAGGAGGAGAGAGGAAGAGTGGAGGCTTATTAAAAATACAATCTGGGCCAAGAGCAGAAGAGGGTAGGGGGCTAGTAGGTGAAAAACAAGCCTCTCATGTCTCTAATACAGATCTAGATAGATAGACTCTAGATAGATAGATCTGGTTACACTCTCGTTTTACTCTGTTTCTCTCCTTACCCTTAGTCCTTCTTCTGCAGTCTGTCGGCCCTCTGACATGAATTTGATTTTGAATCTGTTTATCTTTCCCTGCCTCTTCACTTTCTTTTCCTTTGTCTCTCTCATTCTCTCATCTCTTGCCTCTCTGGAGGCAATCCTACAGAGCAGCCAGTTATTAAAAAAACATCGCATTCTGGAGGAAGAAATTGGAGACTAATAAACGAACCAAAAACATGTTTACCACTCTGTGTGACCTTTTTAACAGAGCGGAAAGTCATTTCATTTCCAATATTAGCCACTCTTACTGAGAGATCTGGAAAGATGTTACTGAAGTGCAGGGGTGTTCAGAGCATTGCTTTTCTACATAAGCTTTCGAAAATGTGAGATGTTAAGTGACTTCTGTGGTGGAAGAAAAGATAAGTGCAGCAAACTTCCCAGTTTGGAGCAATACAAGGGAATATATAGAACATATTTACACCTAAAGTGTGAATTATTAGATCACAAATGTTGCAGGATTTGCAGAAATCTGCCTTATTGCACATCCAACATGTAATATTTGTCTTTTCCTGCATATTTCTTGCTATTTCTGAGTTTTATTTTTTAAGTCTATGTAATTTGCTTAAATCTATAACCATTACCATTTTTTTGTTTGTTAGTTGTTCCTAGGATTATTATACAGATAGAGAGAAGGGCATAGCAAAAGAAAACCGTAGATGTAGAGAAAGTCAAAAGAAAAACAGAGTGACCTGAAAAAGGTGAAAGTCAAACCGTGCAATATGGAGAGAGATGGAAACAAGAAAACATGATGGGGAGGGGTTGAATGAGAAACTGTATTAGAGAGTGAGGAGGGGGGTGTAAAAAAAAGATGAAAGGAGGAAGTTGAATAATGCAGTAGTCATCTAGCTTCCTGCTTCCCTGTACCTGCAGCTGTCAAGTGAGGTCAGTTTTCCTACTGTACATAGATACCTCTTTCCACCCGACTTTCTTTCACTTAATTTTATTCCTGCTTGTTTCAAATGAAAGTCATCATAAAAGGATTTTACACAACGGAAGAAATCATTTTTTGATGCATCACTTCTTTCTGTAAATTGTTTGTTTTGCCTTTAACAGAGCTGAAAGAAGTACTCAAGGAGAAAAACATTAACTAATGGAAGAAATACTGAATTACAAGTAAAAGTCCTGCAATAAAATAAAATTATAACACTTACAGAATTGCTTTTGAACAGGTCCAAGGCTCAATATCTAGTATCTCACTAGGCACAGTAATGTCCTAGAGCTGCTTGCTACCCAGAAAATGCACATTTGAGGACCCAATACATTCAATAAATATACAAATGTATTAAAATAATATCAATATAATGTACTATATCTTCACCATGAACATCGTAAATATTAGCAATGTACAGAAACTGAGCAGCACACGTTCAGTTTAGCTAAAGCTAAGTGTGCATTTCATTAATCAATAATCATCAGTGAAGCAGTTGATCATACACACACCCTAATGTCAAGTCTTTTTCAAATGCCACATGATCCCTCTCTGTCAGCTTACTGTGCAGGCGACTGCTGTCACCAGAGTCTTGTTACTTTGTCCACTCTTTGTCCCCACAGCTCCAGCTCGATATAAACGAGGGGGTGATTTTATGGAAGTGATCACAGGAGCTGGTCTGATGTAACTAAAATCGATTGTTTAAGTCTAAATCTGGACTTCTTATGAAAAAACTGTATGAACTTGCCAACTGAATAGAGCCTCAGTAACAATCAAAATCAAAATAGCATTAAAAGGGTAATTGAGGTTTGTTCCAAAATTACATATTGAAAACTTTAGAGTAGCATACAGTAAACATCAAAGATTCTGTTCCTATAATGGCTTTTAACTATATATAGACTGTATACCGTATATACCGTTAACTCTTCTGATTTAATTCTCTATCACACACATACAGTTCTTTAGGAGGCTTACTAATAATAGTAATTATCATCACACATAATTTATTTACATGATATTACACAGTTCTGCAATAGCTCTTGTAACAACAAGATATTTTCTATGATGTTACTCAAAAAAGATTTTTTACTGACACTATGTTGACATGCAGGATTAACTGACTTCACTGATTAACTGATTTCTAGGTTGTCTCCCAGTCAACTGTCTCACTTATTACAGAACTGTATTTGGAAAAGCCCTCACAAACGTAGGTATAAAAAGTATAAGCATATAATAGATAGTTCATAGAGTAGGTTGACAGATGATAGATGGTTGATCAATTATATTTAATTCTGTCCTCAGGCACAAGTAGTACAGTAGAGACATGTAATCTTAAAAAGTCTAGAAAATATTTGAAAGAATAAAGTGTTAAAAGGACAGAAGTAATTTAAAACTTTAAGGTAAAATTTATAATGAGGAAACACCAACGATGCATGCATGTAAAGCCCATTTGCTCTGCTGTCAGTCAAAATATCTGACACTCTCCTACCTCTGGCCTGACAGGGTCCTCGATCCCAACAACACAGATGGCTGTGAGGTCACTGAGGATGTAGTTCTCATCTTCCCAGTTGGGCTCAGGATCACCAGAGAAGTCACGGTACGCCACACAGATGGTCCTCAGGCCATTACATGCCATGGGCTCGATCACCTTCTTTACCATCTCGTCCTTGTCCCGTGGACGGAAAACCCTTGATTCACCCACCTCGTTCAGGATAAAGCTGCATCTGTAATTAAAGGCATTAAATGACCCGACATGGAAAACTAAATATACTGTAGAATAATCTTCTGCCAACAAACCTTCTTCAGACAGTACTGAATGTTTTAATGCAGTATTTCACATGAACAGAAAACATAGTGGTCTAAATAATGATCAGTGTTCTAACTATGCACACTTAAAGAGGCCATATTATGCTTTTTGGAGTTTTCTCTCTGCTTTAGGCTGTTATATAGAATTGTTTGTGCACGTAGAAAGTCTTTAAAGTGACAAAATCTAAAGTCCATGCTAAGGGAGTTGCTGTCTAAGCTAATTGGCTGCTGTCTCTAGCTTCACATTTCACAGACAGATATGAGAGAGATGTTAGTCCTCTCATGTAACTCCAGGCAAGAAAGCGAATAAGAGTATTTCCCAAAATGTAAATGTTCTAATGCCACATCAAGCTTCTTCACATATATGAAAAATAGTTGTGAATTATTTATTTTGAACTCCATCTGCTGATGAAGATCATGTGATGCTACTGAAAGCAAAATGGACCTTAAGCGAGCTTGTTTTGTCAGCTGCTGTTTCCAAAGTCCATTAACTCTGAACCTCCTCCTTTGAGCCAACATGGATGAGAGAACCATAAACATCTAATTCAATGACAACTGGGAGACTCCATCTGCTGAAGAAGATCATGTGATATGATTGAAAGCTCCAGAACATCCACAAAATGTAACCAAGATTGTATTTGTAAGTGATTTGTGAGTGATTTTGATCAGAATGTAATCCTATGCCCACTCCACAAAAAATATACTGCCATTTCCCTGGTTATTAAATGTGAATAAAAATAGATACACTGATTTCATGCTGATGTTTTTATTATCACTTCTCCAAGCACGGAGGAGAATGCGTCTCCACCACATTTTCAACACATGTGAGAGGTTATGGCTGCATGATCCTTGATGTTCAGGTCAAATGGCTCAGGAGTGCTTGATGACCACTGAGCCACTGCGAGTGGACCAATGGCACAGCTACTGAATGTGTCATTAGCTGAATAAATACACATACAAATGAAAAATAAATATGTAATGGCTTAAAGTGCAACACTAACCCTGGATTGAATTAATTGGCTGTAAGCAATTTAAAAAAGCTAATGAACTGTAATTTGCGCAAAAGTAATTTAAGGACTTTTGTTGGTTTGGGCAAACATGTGTACAAAAGTATGTAACATTATCTGTATATTTGTTAAATGTGTTCTATCCACAGCCATTGTCAAAAGAAAATTTCTGCTTATTCCTTAAGTGGGTGGAGGAAGCTTTATAATTACCTTTGATGTTACTCATTTGTTACTGTGTTGTTATTGTAATGTACTGTAAAGTGTCACAATTGTATGACCTTCTAATGGAAAGTCAGCCCACTCTCACCGCACACTGCACGTGCTGCAATTATAATCAGAAATTATCATCATCTTGTTTATTACAAAACCACACTCACTTTTTGAGGACAATCTCAGAGGCTCCCTTGCTGTACATGCGGAAGCTCCCATCAGACAATTTGACGACAGTGCTCATGGACTTCCTGACAGAGTTGAAGGTATAGACTTTGTAAAGCTTCTCCTCTGGGATCTGGTTTCTTATTGGCTGGTAATCCCGCTTCAGGTCCAAGACCAAACCGAGCAGACCGCACTCTGTCTTGTTGCCCACTTGCTTCGGTAGGCCGCCTTCCTTATCTGGGGGCTGGAGAGAGGCAGAGGAAGAGATTTTCGGATGTTCAGATCTATTTTCAGGCCAACATTTGCTTTAATACATAAACAGTGATTTTCTACTACTGTCTTTCTACTGTTTTTCTATTAACTTTTTACGATGCTTTAAAGCTATATTATGATTGTTTTATCCCACATTTTTCTTCTATATCTGCTCTTTCTCAATAAAATAGTGGTATGGATACTCTTTATTTGAGCACATTTCAGGAACAAATAATCCATATTGTTTCCTCTGTGATCTATTCAATCAATGAGATTCTCTTTTCTTCAGTGCAGTGCAACCAATGTAATGCTTGAAATAGCTGGTGGTGATAATTAACCATCTAGCAGGTGAAAGGGTTGCTCTGTGTGGGCGGGTAGGCGATGAGATAGATGGAATCAAATGTGAATGTTCTTATTTCAGGCATACGGTTCAACCCATTGCAATCTGGACATGTGTTAAATTTGGACATTTAATTGCACATTAGGAACCATGTTTTTTCTCCGGTTCAGTAAATATCTCAGTAACCACATTTCTACATGACTACATTGGATTGTGTATGAACCACAGGAACAGCATGTGACATGTTTTAATTTTTTAGTAAAAAAAATAAATAGCCATCACAACATCCTAGAGCCCAAAGTGCCATCTTCACATTGTTTTATCTGACTAACAATGCAAAACCTAAAACATAAATCAATTCACTGTCATATAAGACAAAGTAAAGCAGCAAATCTTTTTAAAAAGCTGGAACCAGAAAATATCTGTCATTTTTTTGCTCGACGAACAATCACAAATTGCTGCTGATTATTTTTACTCCGAGTAAAAGGAAAATGTTATACAGTATGTGATGTATCTGCCTCTTAAAGCTGGAGTGTGTTTATTATCAGCCAACAGTAGAGCCTTTTACTGTAGATTATGTGAGTCTGTTCAAATCTGTGCACAAGGCTGTGCAGGTGCTACAGTAAATGTGTGAAACTGCACACACACACACACACACTTACTCACTTACTGTATGTGCAAGTGTGTGCATGTGTGCATGTGGTCAGCTTGTGGAAGACTCAGCGTTGCCATGGTAACACTGGGCAAAGCATACTTGGAAGAAGAGACTTGGGGAAAAGAGAGGGTGCTCTCGCCACTTGGGGATTCTTACTCTTTGGCTCTGATTCTCTTACAGGATCTTTTGACTCATCTCACTTCACAAATGTCCTCAAGTCTACCCGAGTTTCCCTTTTTCATCTTTCCCCTGTCCTTATTTATTGGCATTTTCTCGAGTTTCACTCCATTTACTCACTGTCTCTAAATCACACGGAAATAAAGCAGCAATAAAGCATATAGCGTGCCTATCCATATTTCTTTAAAATGCGCAGTTTTTTATTCAAGCCACTGTGATAGAGCAAATCTCATCATCAATATCCCACACACACTCACACTCACACCTACACACACACTGACCACAGTAGTTACACTGATGCTCATAAGTCCGGACACTGTCACTATCTGTAACATGCCTCTTCATATAATCACACACACTCAAGCTGATATTCATTTTAGTTTAATAAAAAGACGTATGAATAAAAAACATTTTTTCACTCTAATTAAATCTAAACTAGATAAATGCTAATCAAGGAAATCAGGGCTGCAACTAATGTTTATCTTAACAATTAATTAACAGTTTATTTAGAAAAGGTAGAGTTTAAGGTAGTGTCTTCAAATTCATTTTTTTATCAAACCAATAGTCTAAAAAAAGATATTCAGTTTACTGTCATATATGCAAAGTAAAGAAAAAAGCTAATCCTGACATTTGGGGAGTTGGAACCAGAGGCACTTGACACCTCTGCTTGAAAAATGACTGAAACGGTCAATCACTTATCAAAATAACAATTCATTGTTTGACTGATTGTTTAATCGACTAACTGTTTCAGCTCTAAAAAAAATAGATCAAATTAGTTGTAAAGCTGTGAATACCAAGTGTTGTTGTATGCTGTTAATCAGTACTGTAGAACACCATCCTGTTTGATTAGATTTGGCTCATCTGGATCCCTATTAGATGGCTCTGAGCTAAAAGCTAGTCTCCTCCAGGTCTTGCTATATAGTACCAACAGTACACTTGACACCTACACTCACAGCTAAAGAACAGCTTGTCAGGTACACTCTCTTTCTCTAACACACATATAAACACATGCATACACACAAAATATGGTATGAAAAAAGCACACTGAACATAATGCTTCTGACTTGCTGCTAAGCAGACACCTTCAGTCTGTGCTATTTGCCCCAAAATAGACTGACTGCAGGCTTGCTGTTCTGCGCCTAAACAAGCCTCCAACCAGGAATAGATTTAAAAGGATAGCTTGACATTTTGACGCTTTTGAATTTTACTTTCTTCTTGTTGTTTTCTTTACACAGCACTTGCTGAAATGTGTATCGGCAATGTAGTTAATCACATTAATGGCTTGTTGGAATTGGTGCGTTCACATTCTCCATCTAATGAACTGCTCTTGTGTGTTTTTGTTTTGTTATCTTAGAATCAGCCATTTATATATACAGAGGGAGTGGGTTCTCTTTCTAGTAGTCCACCACGTTGAACAGCTATGTTTCTACAGTACGCCAGAATGGACAAACCAAACACTGCCTCTAGATAGTCCCTTTTTCTTTTTTTTACTGCCATTGCAGTTTCCTCTACACGCTTGGACAGCAAGCGGTTAGTCAGTTCAGTTGCATCACCGCTATATGTCACTTAATCCTACACACTGATCCTTTAATGTGCCTTTTTAATGTTACTGACAAAGACTTAAATATATTTCCATGCAGCAAAAAATATTACTGCAACTGCAATCAGTTTACTTAATATTGTCATTTATTTCTCCGTAGTCTAGTTTCCTTATCTGAACCCAAGGTTAAAGGGTGTCATAGGTGTCATACTGTATGCTCTACATATTGTAAAGACCTTTGAGGAAAATGTGATTCATAATTTGTGATTATGGGCTATATAATTTTTAGTAAATCCTACATTAAATGAAGCAAACACCATGGAATGAGTCAAATTCCAATCTGTGGAAATGTGGCTGTATATTGCAAACTTCTATTCAACTTTAATTCATCTGTCCAGTGAGTGACGTATCTGCATTCAATGTTTGCTTAAGCAGCTCAATATTTTGAAACCACAATTTCTTAAGAAACAATGAAGATTGATCCATTCAGGCTCAGACATATTTTATTTGTCCGTTTAACTGCAGCTGCTATGAGCCAGGGGTTCCTGCTGAGAAACAAAGTCAGCTAAAATCTCATTAATCATTAAAACTCAATCAGACTGCTGGCCCATGTTCACCTAGTAATTGGACATTTCTGGTTAATGTTCAGCTGTGTGTCTCACAGACACAGACAAGAGTATAAATACTTTATACCGAGTTTGCGGTGAATAACAGAATTAATGCCTTTTCCTAATGACCAATGATTACATCAGGAAGACACTGCCTGTCATTGGTTAACGAGGGGATGGAACAAATGGCCTCATCTGCACTGTCTGCTAAGTGTTGGGAGAATAGGTTCCCAGCAACAGAAAAACACCACACTAAACAACTAAATGTAAATGACCAGCTGGAAACCAGACAGGATGTATTATGGTTTTAAATGATAATTCATACATAAAAACATATTTATTATTATAGTTAAATATAAGAGGTGTTATAAAACATATCAAAAGATGCTAAGTTTAAGTTTTCCTTTGCATGATTTGCCTTCCCAACTATTATTAAAGCAGTAAGTTCTGAAATTGCATTTACGTTTCAGAAGACTCAATTTGTGTTTGCCAGTTGAAATTAAGGTTTCATGGAATTCACTTTTAATTCCAATACCATTTTAATTTCCTGACTTATGGAATATAAGCACTAGTTTGGCCCAAATGTACTTGAAGACAACCATTTGATTTGTCCATCTTAAATTAAGGACACAATGACAATATGTATCTCCTTGCCTGTTACTGACTGTCAATGTCTCTTGCTTTGGTTGCGATAAAGGAGAACAGCAGTGGTAATGAAGGAAAGTAGTAGTTATGTAAATATAATGTTATGGCTGCTTTCAAGAGGGTTGATGATTACAGACTAAATAAATGGTTCATTAAAGGTGAAACTAAAAAATATGACTGGTTACACAGCACCAGTGAGTTATAGCTTATTGTGTTTACTTCTTTAAATAAATAAAATTTAGGATTATTTGCCATACTGAATTTAAAAAAACGCAAGTCGACCTTGTTTTATTCAGAAAGTCTTTCCAAAACAGGTGTTGAAAAAGGGGGGTCTTATTATCACCAGGGTCACATTATATTTAGGCTACTGAGGTGCTCTTTGAGCCACAATTCCTCAGTCTGACTGAGAGCTGTCTGTGAGTCTGTTTGTTAGAATTAACATTTTTAATTTTGAAAACAACAAACAAAACCAAATCAAATGAATTATTGAAACTATACAAATATACAAAGAGTACACAACACAATATTCAGTGTGCACACAACATCAGAAGATTAAAATTTGCACAATTCATATTAAGAAAAAAGATTTTGAATTAGAAACACATGATTCATTTGGCACAACTCCTGGCACTTTGTAGAGAAACACAGTTTCTGATAACTGCTGCAAAAACAAATCAAGGCAGGAGAAAGAGCAATGACAAAAAATAAACAAACGGCACACAGCAACAATGCTGCCTTTTCATTCTCAGAGATTCCGTAGAGGTTTAGCTTGACGTGGTTTCATACGCACAAAGACAGTTGC